ATTTTACTTCTAGGTCACAAGGCTGAAATCTAGGTGTTAAGAAAACTGAGTTTTCACCTGGATGCTTTAGAGAAAACTCTGCTCATTCTCGTTCTTGGCAGGATTCGTTCCTTACGGTTGTGGAGCTACAGCACAGGCTATAGACTCTCATGTCCCTTCTGGCTGTCAGCCAGGCTCACTCTCAGCTTCTAGAAGCTGCCCACATTCCTTGCCATGTAACTTCCTCAATCTTTAAACCAAGAATGGTGGGTCATGTTCTTTTCATGTTTCAAATCTCTGACAACCCCTCCTGTGAGTAGCCAGAGAAAACTCTGCTTTTAAAGGGCTGATGCTTAGGTCACGCCCACCCAGGCACCTCCCCCTTTCTCAGGCTGTCTGTGCCTTACACTAGAACCCAATCCGTGGCAACTATATGGGGCATGTATCTCACAGAGGCAGGAAATCTCGGGGCCCATCCCTGAAGCCTGCCTATCACAGGCGTTACTCACTGGCCCCTTTATGTCTCAACAATCCTGAAGAAGCAGAGTTTAAAGTCTGGGAATTTGGTTTTTATCATTCTTCTGTGTTGACCTTTTTTCCCCCACTCTTAGCTTTTTTATTATTTTATTAAAATATATTTTTTAATGTTTTTATTGATTTCAGAGAGAGCAGAAGGGAGAGGGAAAGAGAAATAGAAACATCAATGATGAGAGAGAGTCATTGATTGGCTGCCTCCTGCACGTCCCCTGCTGGGGATCGAGCCTGAAACCTGGGCATGTGCCCCGACCAGGAATCGAACCATAATCTCCTGGGTAATAGGCTGATGCTCAAGCTGGCTTCTTCTGAGAAGGCCAAGCCCCATTCTTAGTTTTTTAGATCAGTATATTAATAGATCAAGGAACACTGGAGAAGAGATTTTTATGGTTTCATAATGAATTGCTCTCCTAAGAACCGCAGATCCTCAGGCTGAGAGGATGGCTTTGATCTGAATTGGGAAGGTACCGTGGATTCTCTCCCAGGTCAGAGCTTCCTGAATCTCCTGAGAAGCAGCACTGCTCCAGGCCTCCAGCCTGCATTCTGTTTATGACAGTCTATTGTATTTTGTTTTAGACTCTCTCTCTTCTTCCCTGGTTATCTACTTGCAAGATGTATCTAATTCTGAGTATCTGCCAGGTCATCTGAAGACAATAAGGAGCACCCAAGTGCCAAGGTTCTACAGGGGTCTGGGTCTCTTGGTATTTATTGATGGGATGTCGCTTGAGGCTAAGAGATCACAACATGATAGATTCCTCCCCAGAAATGTCTCTGAGGTCAGGCTGAAGGTCACATGGCTGTGGAGTTAATTCTGACTGTCCTGATAATGCTCCCCATCCCTCAGTCATACCATGTGGTGGTTTCAGTGCTGCTTTAGGAGTTGGCTAAAACTGGGAGAGACTTGTGACATGCCAGACCGAGGAAGGGATAGGTCTCTTTTTTAAGCGAGCCTTGGCTGAAATCTCCATTTCGGGAACAAGGCTAAAATTTTCCTTGCCTTAGATTCTATAAAACTCCAGGCATCACGCAGCAACAAACCTCCTAAAACGCTGTGATGCAAAGCAATCTTTATATTACTCAAGCCACCCGAAGAGCTGCATCTCGTGAAAAGGTGATGCTGAGACCAATATTACACATCAAGCGTTTTAAGGTTCATCTAGCACAGTAATTTTGTTTCTTACAACAGCTCCTAGGGATAGTTTATAGAAAGGCATCATCTTTTGATTTTATGGTGACAATAATTTCCAAAGTAGAGAGATGCTTCTGAAATATTACCATTATCTCCTAACAGCTTATAAATCAAAACTTTCCCGGAGTTGGATAAAACCATGAAAACTGAATATTATGTTCAACTAGAGTTTTAAAGAACACAAAAAAGTGATCTAATAATTTAAAGGTAGATTTCAAAGGAGATAGGCACCTACCAGGGTAAACTTTGGCACTGAGTACAAATCAAAATGTTATTCCAACAAAAGATGGTATTATTCCATAAAAGACAAGTCACTGGGAAGAATTAGGATAAAGATATCTATTGTTCAGAAACCCTGAGGTGGGCTTTTACACACAGTTTCTCTATCTCTGATGCTGCTCTCTTATGAGAAGAGAGAACCAGGAAGGTGAAACAGTAGATGGGAAAAACAGCACCAGCTAACAAAGCAACCAGTCTGGAGTCAGGGGAACTCCCTATAAGAGCTTTTCTTCCAAGCTAGTGTTAAATGTTGAACTACTAAAATTTGTCACCAACATAGCTAAAATAAATAGAGTTTGGATTTTTGGTTAGTATATAGAAAGGTAGCCAGAACTCTGGTGAGTATGTCTGAGTTAACACAGAAATTTCCTTTCCCACTTGAAACACATAAACATTTTGGACAAACTATAACACAACAACTACACACACACACACGCACACACACACACACACACACACACACACACAGCAATGTTACTGTGCCAAAAATAAATGGATCTCAAAGAGCACTGAGAGGAAGCCAAAGCCAAGGGACTCTTGGGGAAGCCTGGACCTGAGATAGGTCTGAGAAGTTGGTGGCAGGGCCTTTAATATTATTAAGTAGTTGTAGCACCTGTGCACACAGGAGCTAGAACCAAGCTTATAAAGAGCAAGAAGTCATGCAGGAATTGTCCATATACGAAATGGGAACTAGATACACTATGACCACCCCCAAGGAAAGTGACATGGGACTAACTTTTTTCTTGGGACCAGAGGAATGAAGGGATCAATTAGAGAATCCAGGCTGTTGCTGAGTCAGCGCCTACTCCAGCTCCCAGCATAGATCCCAAGTCTCAAGTTAACATACCAACTGGTCCCGGGCCAGTGAGAGCCATAGGGCCCGAAGCAGAGGTAAACATAAAAGCTCTCTGTAGAAATGCTCTCACTACCAGGTCACAGTTTATAAAGGAAAGCACAACTCACAAAGGAGAAGTTAAATAACTTCGATTACTTGATCATTTAAAATTTCCATGAAACTACAGACAATACAGGGGAAATTTAAAGGCAAATGACCTGACCATCCAGGCCAGTTTGGCTAGTGGTTAGAGCATCGGCCTGCGGAGTGAAGGGTCACGGGTTCAATTCTGGTCAAGGGCATGTACCTCAGTTGCAGTCCCAGCCCCGGTTGGGGCATGTGAGGGAGGCAACCAATTGATGTTTCTCTCTCTGTCTCTCCCCTTTCCTTCCATTCTCGCTAAAAAAAAAAAAAAAAAAA